ACGCCTGCAACAGCGCAACCTCTCACCCACTGCAACCTCGAGCAGGACAGCCTCGCAGTCGAGTCTCTCGGGCCTCGTCCCCAGGTTGTCCATTTTGTAAAGCATCAATTTTTTCCGAGAGCAGAATTAATGTGCTCAGTCGCTTATTGCTGTCATATTTAGCAGACTTGTCCTTATCCATTTTTCTCTAAATCGGGCAATCGATTTGTCGGCGATTTCAATTAGCAGTCAGTGTGAAATCTGAAACTCTGGGAGTAACTCCAGCCGCGGATCTGTTACCAAACCTTTCGCTTACCAATAATCCTTCAAAATACTAACACGCGGGCAGATTTGGATCGCCAGTAAGCATGATTCAAAATAGAAAAAAGAATTTTTTGCTTTAATTAGCCTCCTCTACAGCTTAATCTGTTATTTTTTAAAGTTAGCAGTGGTAGAGACTTGTAGCATTGACATATTAGATGGGGACTTCGAAGCAGGACATATTCCATCCTGTTTTTAATTGTACAGGGATTTTTATGGCCAGATTTGAGGACATTGTTTCTAAAGCCTCAGGTCGTAAACACAGTTTATTCCCACCTCAATAAAAAGTGCACTACAGATAAATTTTAAAGGTATCATGGATGTTCTTTGTTACGGAAGCCTACCACAACTTGCTGGCTCGTTCGACTGAGGAAAATACCTTGCAGCGATGAGCCGACAAACGCATTTTGAACAAGACTGGGATATTTAAATAATGCTTAGGCTGGCAAGCATTAAACCCCAAATGGATAATTCGTTATCATATCAACAATCAGCGTGGCATATCAAGAAATCACTGCATGCAACCACTAAATTTGATTTATAACATTTTTTCAGTTTGAACCAAGTTCCTTTGGCATCCGGTATTGCCACTTTATCAAAAATCACTAACGTAAGTCATATCTGGCTGACGAGTATGAAAAGCTGGATCTAATAGCTTAGTTTGTCGGATATTCACGAGATTACCGACCACTACTTTACAATGAAGGCTATGGATCACAGGCTGTAAACCTACCTAAGCACTGGAGCCACGCTAGAACCATGTACATAACGTGTGCCACAATGAAAAGTGCTATTAATCTCACCTACAGAGGATCTGAATACCGTTGACTACTATCGAAATTTTGAACTTGAAACCAAACTGAATTCCACTGGGGGACTGGTCATTGCCTCAATTACTTGCCTACTCCTGCTCCTGTACACCCTAATAACGGAAGTAAGGGCAGGCACGTGCTGCTGACACAAAACCCTCCCGTTATATTTGAAGTTGGAAACCACCCTCATTGTTCAGCATGACCATTTGAATGCGAGGCATTGAAGTGTTTTCTCGTCAGTGGGGGTTTGGAACAAAAGTGCTCTTCATTCATTAATAGTAGTTGACGTTTTCTATAAGGCAGACTCGAACAACCTTACTCGGAGAATGGACTCTCTCACCGTGCCAATTCTAACGGGCTCGTGTTATATCATCCACCTGACAATACCCAGATATTTATCCTGGTGTAAATATCTATGCCTTATTACCACTACGGAGTTCCTGTAGAATAACGCCAAGTTTGTCTATAGATGTCTGTGAGTCTGTCAAAGGACAATGATTTCAATTCCCTAAACGTCCTCTGAATACGATGATTGGGTCCTTTTATTCACTTGAACTAATGAGACCAAATACCAAACACACTGACTCACAAAGTTGGTAGTTCCAACTAGCCAGCGCTCTCAAGCCATTGGTGTGACTAATTACTTCTAATACTTGTATACTGAGAGTAATATATGCAAATTTTCTTCAAAAAACGCTGATCGGAAAAATGAGTGATGTCTCGCATTGCTGTCAAATATATTGCTGTTTTATGTGTCATTCAATCGCTGTCAACAGTTCATACTGTTGCTCAGCTCAACAAACTACCTGTTGAAATTACCCTCCTGCCCATCAGTGGTCACTCATTCCTCCAGTTTCCTGAAGTCAAAATTGTCAAAACAACTGATGAGCCACAGAGCCGAACCGTTTTGACCTGAAATCACTCTTCCGGATAGCTTGATTGCAACATTTCCTTTTCAATTTTCTGGAAAAAATGCGATTTGTCATTTTCTAGGACTTGTTTGGAACCTTTGGGATCGACATTTGGCAGACCCGAGTGGAGGTAGCACCACACGCCAGCCACATGACCGGCCGTGCCAATCAAGCCGACGGACCACTTCGCCCTCGCGCCCACGTGCCGGCCTCCCATACGTCCTTTTAAACGGCGGACGACGGTGGTGGGTGGACGACGCCTCTACCATTACCGTGATTTAGCCCATAGAATTGTTTCGGCTTTTCATATAATAATCACTGCCTTCATTGGGGGCAGCCCAACTCCGTTTTTAGGCATGACAACTTTATTGATTTACGACATGCAGCGTTGACGTGTTTGGTGGAGCAATTTACGGCCAGCGGCTTTTAACATATCTACCAGTTACGGTCACTAAGGTGGTAAAAACTACTTTATAAGTATAACAGAGTTTAAACAAAACCAAGGACGGGCGTGCAAAGGTAGTTTACACAGAGAGTGGGTGCTGTGAACGGTGGTTTTATGCTGTAGACCATTTATCGCAGCAAGACCCAAGACCGAAGCAGGATGCAAGGTGTTAAAACTAATTCGACAGGATCTCTACCGGTCAGTGATTTAAAAGCAGACTGGGCCTGTGAAACTTGCCTTAAAGTCCTTTTGATGAGTCCCAACGAAGGGGGCAAGGCGGGGGAAGGCTACAGTGACAGGCAGGAAACGTTTGTTTAGGTATTTGGGACACCTCGAAGAAATGTTTACTGAAGATCTGCAATGAAAATAAACCTAATTACTTCACCGGAGTCGATAAGACCGGACCTGGAATGCTAAGGACAAAGGAAGCTGATGTTTTAGGTTAAGTTGTCTTGTGGATGATTCGGCAGCTTAACTTGGGGATGTTTTGTGTCAAAATTATTGCAGGTAAACGTTAGCAAATGAGTACCGCCAAGACTTATGGGGTGGGTTTGACTACAAGACAGTAAATAATGAATAAGTCGTTCTAGAGTAACAGCACTTTCTGCAGAACTGTCGATAATTAGCTGATGTAGATTATGCGCATTCTTTTATAACAAAGGTCTCTAATGATCCGTGTGTCTTGCTTACGTCTTGTTATTCCAGGTATTTGTATTCCACCTCCTAACTCGAAGGTGACATCACACACACACACAACTGCCGCGGATTCGTTGTTTTGCATAAATCAATTTGATTCCCATCAATGCATGACAAAACTGCATCATGTTGAAGAATCCATAAAGGTAGCCTACGCATTATTGTTTAAGCTCCGCTGATAGACTCGAGCTCATGCATATTGGTGACCCTAGATGATAACTTGTCTCTTCGGAACCATCAATGTGGGAATAACAGGAGATTGTCGGATGTGTACCCAACCATCTACTGTTTCAAGCCGTCAGTCATTACAATGCAGAAAGATTCATAAAGGCCTGTCTAGGCACTGGTTTCACTAGCCCACCCACAGCCAGAAGTCGGGAAATCATCCCACTTCATTTCAGCATGAGTGACGCCTATTCGAACCATCCGACACGATGGCATTGGCCGGTCGGTTTCAAATATGCGAGCGTTAGCACAGGCCTTCAATCTGCAAGATATTCGTGTTTATTTAAACCAGTTTTTCGTCATCTTTTCCATACAACACGACATTTTTCGAGGAACACGGCAACTTGCATTTCGACTTGGTCAACTATTTGATCCAAGACTGGAATATAAACGAATGTTACTGAAGTTATCAGCCAAAAATATGTGTTTTAGTATGGCAGTGCCGAGTTTTATTTATTGTTGGTTTTAAACCCGACTACCTAGTGTTTCATCAAGCGATCCGACTATGGCACCTAGAGGCTTACTGTTACTGCTCCAGTAACTCGGAAACACGACAGGTCTTTCACAGTTGTCTTCCTCTTCAGGCTCAAGAGCTGGCTCTAGCTGCTCACCTGTGGCTCATCACCTACCCCCGAAAAAGCCACATTTGTCTGGCAACTTTAAATATCGCTATTCTTAGAGAGGAGACGAATATGTTTTGATAGTGACTTACCTCCCTCTTTTTCCCAAATGGGTTAGTGGTGGACATGCTTCACTCTACCAACTACACGGTAAATACTCGGCTGCACTCGGGTTTTTAGCTAAATTGCCGATTTTTTTCCGTGTGGATGCAATCCGACGGCTTCTTTCAGTGCCCCATCATTATCGAACACATGTCTCATGTGAGACTTCAGTTCGACGCCGGAACATGCATTTTCTCCTCGTTAACGCTTAAACCAATCTATGCATCCGCCTTGAATTGTGAATTCTCCTCCTTAATCTTCTGCACTCGTTTCTTCTTTCACGTCACACAGGTAATGCAAACGAAATCCACCCTGTCGGGCAGCAAAGTAGTCACCTGTGTTAAACACGACATCAAGCCTGTTATAAAACCTCATTAATCTGAATTCCATTTGGAATGATGACATGAGTGGAAACATGGCCCCACACTTTGGTCCGGTTAAGCAAATTTTGGTGATTATTTCAGTGTATTTGCTAAAAATGAATTTCGCCATTTGTGAGTTTGATGTCTAGAATGTGAATATTTAGAAATTGACCTTGTAGTTTTCCTTACTACTCGTAAAGCGAAACTGAATTAGTATAGTTTGATCATTAGCAATTGTCTGCGCCGCGAAAGGAACAGTCATCGTGGTTATAGACACTACTGCTGAATTGGCTGTGGCTTGTCGATTCAGTCTGTTATGGTCTAAAATAACGCGCTACATGATAAAATTGCGTTAGTCAGAGTAGTCGTTAAAGTGTATACGTATCTACGATCTCACATGAGGTATCCGTGGTCAACTAAAAAGTAGACTGCTATAGGTTACAACGACTCCCAAGGTTTGGAGCCGGCTGCTTAATGCAATTATCAAAGCCGAGATGAGTTGGATGTTCTGTTCTTGATTCTATGAGTCCAATTTTTTCTCCAAGATGAGCTACTGAGTCTTGACGCTCGACTTATTCGGCATCAGCAAAAAACTAGTAAAACAATTTCGCGTAACAGATTCCGACATTTGAACAATGTTTTGAAACGATCAAAAATGTAAACGCATCCCTCTGTAAAGATTTGATTTCTAGTGACTCATTTCGTTAATTGCAATTTGTTGTCGTTTTAGTTGGTGAGACACCTCAGAGCTAGTCAAAAATCACTTTTTCATTGGCTAATAGGATTTTTCAAGTATTCTTAAGCTGCACGAAATTCACCTGACCCATTCTTTCAATAAACTCATGTGAAATTCTCAGATGTTATCGTTGTTAGTGGTGTTAAGAATCTGAAAAGAAATTATTTGAATTTGTAATTTTCGCCACATCAGTGTGCCAATTGGAACCAGGGAGCTTTGCTGATTATCCTTGATGTCTTTCCTTTCGCGCTCGATAACTTTTGAATCTGTTCCTTCCGATTTTGGTCCTTTTGGCAGATTGGTTTGCCTCCTTGAATGACAAAGTCAAAGTAGCATTTTGCGTAAATCTTTAAATTCTCTAAGTGTTTTGCCTTATCTGAATCAAGCACCCCACTGCATCGTAGCTGTATATTTCCGAAACGCGATCAAACTGTTCTAGTCATTTTTTAATTTAGTAGTTTTCTTGGGATATTTTTAAAACTCCTACCTCCCGTGACTAGTCCAGCGCACAAGGCTAATGTTTGCTAGCATCTGTAGGGAACATTTTGGGATTTTTGGCACCTGGCATTGATAAATGCTACCTCCTTTCCGCTATTTTCAAACAATTGCATCTCCACGTGACGGGGGGCACATCGTGTTTGTATGCTTTTGCATGTATACGCTCACACGTGCAGACAAATGTTCACGCGCCCGGTCAAACCGTCTGTTTTGTCTGATTTTTCAGTCGGTTGGCGGGTTCATCGATTTCTGATAATCTTAGCAGCTGTGCCGCGTCATGTGGGGAGGACACGTTCGGTATGCCAACAGTTGCTTCACAGTGCGAGCGTAGCAAAAGCCGAAAAAACAATCGGTGCCACCAGACACGCTTTAAGCGCGCAGCCACGCTATTGGTCTTTGGTAGCACACTCGCACACACTGTGTGCCATGCGGACCAATCAAGTGTTTGGCTTAATAGTGCGCGCCGATCGACTGCCACTTCTGGTCAAATTGAACAACGGACAGCAGTTGTCGCAATTACTGTTGCCTGAACAGCCGCAGGAGTGGAAAAGCAGCCTGTTTTTTGTGAAATACGCACATATTACACATCCATTGGAGAAGCACAGGAACGACACACCACGAACAGGCGCATCCTAGAACAACAGTTGATGCGACAACAGCCGCTAACAATTGTCGTCGTGCAAAGTCTTGCGTGATCATCTCAGTCATCAGTCTTGTGAGGGAGAAAAAGAGAAAGAAGAAACATTTACTCTTGTTACCCGTCTGCCGCCTGCACGCACACACATACACTAACCCCCCCGCGCGCACCCACCAACAGACACAGCGGAAGGCAAACACATGTTAAGAAGCAGTGGTGATTATGCCGGTGAGGTGTTAACAACAGCTACACCATCAGTGCCTCAGTCTTCGAAGTTGCAAGATGCAGACGACAATGCCTCCGGGGCACGTGACAGCATCTACCCCTACCCAGAATATGCCAACCTCATGGGCTACGATAACGGGACTGGGCACGGTCGACCCTTTCCCTCCGACCCGCATCCTGGACCGCTTCAGACTCTAGTTAGCCAGCTGGTGGCCAAAACCGAACTGGGTTCATCTGAGGGGAGTTATGACCACCTCCTGTACTCGGCATCCTCTACAGCTGCTGCTTATTCACCCTTCTATGGCAATCAGCAGGGGAATGCCGCGGCATCTTTTGAAAATTTCTATCCACACAGTTATACAGCCTACATGTCTGACCATTTGACCAATTCAACCGACCTCAATGGGTTTCCATATCCATCGACTTACACAGGTGGTCGTGTCTATGAGGCCGGGGAGTACTTGGCGGCGTCCAATGCCTACCAAAGTCAACATCCTGTTTCAACGAATGCCAATAAAACTGCGACAACGACATCAACCCTAGACTCATCCTCCACTTCCTCAGTTACTTCGACTTGTTCTGCGATGGAATCGAGTTTCAACTCAGGGTTCTACCTCAAACCAGAAGAGGGGAGCAAGGTAGGGGGGTTTTTTGCCAACCCAAACGCCACATGTAACACCAACAACAATGCGGACAAAGAGCAGAGGAAGCGGGTAGCTGAGGTACGAAGAATTGGAGCAGATTCAAGGAAGAAGGCCCGTACACAGCAGCAGCAGAGCAAGAAGGCGGAAATTTCCTCTCATAATGCTGAGAAGGACGCAAAAACGGTCCTTGATGCGCTAGGCGAACACAGCCCTCTCTCCATGGGAGACGACTCTGGGGATGAGTCGAGTTCTAGCGGCGATGATGAGCAAGGGATCGGCAATAAAGTAAGTTCGGGTGTTCCCTTTTTCACTACTAATACTTTTGACTGGACTAAGACGCTGCTGTTGAAACTGGTTCCTGGTTAAACCACAGAGCATCACTGTTTTGCCTGTGACAGGCCAATGGTTCCTCTGTTATGGCAGTCGGCACCACCTAACCACGAGGAGGGTTCAGTGTCTCACGCCCGACTGAATTCACCTTACACCGACGTAATCCACGCTCCCCGTCTCCTGTTCACAGTTCAGTGACAGCGGTACGTGGAGCGGCCGCATTGGTACTTAGACTTGGCAACACAGCGGGGGGCATAGTGAATCGCTAATTACCACTGTGTGCAGATAGTTGGGATACAGTTCACTTGTGTGAGAATAAATGGTGGTATCTTGTGCTTGCGTGCGTGTTCCCGCTTAACATATGGGGGCTACTGTGGGAATTAGCAAGGTCGCATTATCGTGATTTCCTCAATCCCATTACTAAGTCACAATGCCAATTTATAAACCGATGATACCTGAAGTCGCTAGCATGCTCAATCTTGCAATTTTGCGTATGCACAGAGATAATAACAGCACCTGAATTCCTACTAGAGAAACAACCCACTTCATCGTCTCAGAAACTTTGAAAGTAAGAAGTTCCCATCTCCTGTTCTTTCAAAGTATGACCTGTTCACCGGTTGAATTACACCCAATTGGTGTTGAAATGAGACAAGCGAGTATCGGTTTTAGTGCAAAAGGTCAGTGGTGAAAGGAAGCAGTATAAAATGGCGATGCTTTAAACTCGAGGATCAGAGCTCAAGCAACTTTGGAATGCGCTGGTCGGAACCAGTTGGTTGTGATAAGGGCTTAACATATAGACTTTAAATTCTTGAGTTATCCGTGGTTTCATTGAATGATTGATCGAATGATAAATACATTCCCTATGTTTGTGCAATCATTGTCAAAGGTAGAAATGTCCTACTGACAAGATACACCGATGAGCTGCTTGGTGCTCTCTATCTGAATGAAGAATTTGAGAACATTATAAAGGTCTCTGATAAACCTACTGCCGCTTATTTTTTACCAAACAAGCGGCGTGCTTTAAGGATTCCCTCCACCATACAACACAACTATACCGTATGTGCATACTACGCAAGAGTCTTCTCATTTGTTCTGATGACACCTCGCATATTGTCATAGGAACCATAAAAGGAGGCCTTTTGGAGTTTGAGGTTCGCTATAGATCATGCCACTTCCAAACATTACACCTCGACGCATGCTTTCACATTAAGACCCCTCCAGCCGGGAATGGGGTCTAGATGGCGTTTGAACCCATTCAGTCAGATTGGGCTGGCGAATGCAGTAGGTCCACGAAGCAGCACGCACCTACGTTCCACCCTGATTGGTTAATTAATTGGCTTCCTATGCGTGCGCGTTGGGAATGTGGACAAGTCTGAAGAACCCGACCAAAATTTTCGTTCGGTTCCGCTTTCCTAACAACTTCTGCAAGTTATTTCAGGCGAGGCAGTGGTGTCTTCTCGGGGTAAAAACTTGCAGCTACACATGTTGCCAACCGGTTGCCCCTACTATTTCATTAAACTTTATGCTTTTTATCTGTCAAGACCAGAGTGATTTCAACAGGCAATGTTGCATTTCAGTCAAATGTCACAACCAGTCTAGTACCGGATTTCTGCTTGGTAAATTCATGAGGCGGTGCTAACCAGTAGTTGTGAAAATAGTTTTGTATAACCAGGTCGTTAGTGTGAAAGCTGCTCTTAACCGGGAATGGGGCGGCGACACCATTATGACAGATTTGCAGAATTACAGCTCACTGCAGTGGTTGTGACGTTGTGTTCTCCTACTTGAGCCGTCAAGACGGTGCTAGTGGAGACGCCTCCCCTAGTAAAAGGCCCTCGATTGGGGAACTGGCTCCTACCGATGTGTGTTGTTTGGGCATCTCCACTCCCTAGCACTTTTGTGGCCGCGTATCTTCGCATCAGTGTGTAAGCTAATGCTTCACTTTAAAACCCCTTGATGGACGGTTTAATTAGGTCCGCTTAACCAGCCTTCAAATATTCAGATGTCAGTTTTGTGTGGAGGAGTTCAGGCCCTCCGAACCCCAATCCACGACTTCAGTTTAGTCAAGCATGAAATGGGGGTGAAGGGGGGCAAGACCTCGCAAAATGTGTTCACGGATCACTTAGTAGTTCCATGCTGGATAAACATGTCATGAATACGGTTGAAATCACGGGAATTCTGGGTTTCATAAACAATCATTGCGAAACCAAGATGGCTTCCTCTGCTAGAAATAGCAAATTGGGGCGTAGAGGAACGCTGTTATCGGCGAAGCGTCAATGTCAAGCCTCAGGTAATTCAAACTGAGAACCAGTTTTAGGCTGCTGTTGCTCACCTTCAACGTCGCTGAATTAGGTGTTAGGCACTTGGACAGCTTACCGGTTGCATAACATCGCAAATGGTTGTAAATGTGGCTGAAGCCTCCTCCTTGTTTGAGTCTTAAGAGCTCAACAGAAAATTGTAACTACAGAGGTTTTGTTTCTCATGCAAAAGCATGCAAAATATGCACTAGAGCAGATTTATAGATTATTATGACTTTTTGAGACTTGATAGCTCTATATATTACTATCACTATCATTAAAAATATCCAGCACAGTTTAAAACCACTCATTCCCATCACTACAGCACACAACTCGCTCCCAATTTGGCCGATCAGTTCTTATATGCTTCACGAGCCAAACTGCGCAATTGGCATTTTCTCAGTATTGCTGTATCAGTGGCTATACGTCCTTCCATGCTTTTAAACGTTGTGCGTGTTGCTGTTTTTGTGTCTTGGGAACGCGAGGACTTCTCATTCCCCCACCACTGGCTCCGATCTCTCCTTCGTAGTCCCACAAAGCAAAAACGAGCACAGGCAAACTTCCCACGCAGATGGACGCTCGTAGACGTGGGTGTTATTGGGACTTAACAATGTGCCTAAAATTTCGGCGGAGGTTGTGATCGCTATTCTGTTGGTTTCACTACCTTTTCAAGTAAAATCCTGATACTTTAGTTAGCCCGTCCCAATGTTTGATCGCTTTTTCAGCTGTGAATCTCAAACTCCTCATCCTGCTTCTCTGATTCTTACAAGACAACTTGCCCATTCAAATTTATCGCAACCTCACCCCCCACTGTCGACATTGTGATACCAGTCAACGTCATTCATGGGGAAGGGATTAAGCAATCAAAATTTGTTGTGCCGTAAAGTTTTTAGTGCAATTGGACTTCAACTCTAACCAGACTAGAAGTTGGTTTGTTGAGAATTAAGTCGTATACTTTCAAATTGTCTTAAAGTTCACTGTTAACTAGGAGAAGCTTTCATTAACAGGCTCATCCCCACTAAGCATCTTCGAATGCACTCTACAAGCCATAGTTCCGTGTTTGTAAATTTCAACGGGCCTTCAGTCAGATGATTTAAGCATGAGCACGCCTTTTCACTCGACATTTACTAAATTTAATTAATTTTCTGATTACTCTGACGTCAGCGTCCGTTTTGGAAAGACAATCGACGATGAGAACTGCAATTTCCAGTAGCTTTGTTCATAAATACACGCTATCCATGTACTGGTGTGTTCAACACTCTGTCTGCCCTTAAGTTGCGTCTGACGCTCACGAAACGGGTGCTCCACCGGATTAACCGTTTTACGGAATAATGTTGGTTGGCGTTCGTAGGTAGATCTCAGTAACCAACATCATTGATTTCCACGGTCTTGCCATCATAGACGTGCTTCGAGACATTTAGCATTGAAGTCACTGACTAACGCCCTCTCAGCACTGCATCTTACTCACCTAAGGTTTCTTGACAAAAGGCTGTCAGCTGTTCTACACGATCGAGGTGGTGGGGTGGGGATTACCGTCGGAGACGCAGAACGTCTTGGATAATTTCTCTCCCCTCACATAGGAGGGAAAAAGGAGAGACATGGGCATGTGGGACAACAGCTGACGCCTGGGCATCACACCGCACACCTTCTGGAAAAGGGCAATTAAGCAATGGCAGCGGCAGCGGCAGCAGCAGCAGAATTGGCAGTAGTAGGAGGGGAAGGGCTGAGATTCTAGTTCGGAGCAACTGTTGCGGTGTCGAATTCGCTATTTACCCGGGGTGGGGAGGGCGAAAGTGGAAATAAATACGGGGAGGGCGGTTACTACCCTGGGACAAGTAATAGGGGAGTTAAAGTGCTCCTTCAAACATACATGTTTGTCACTCAGGCGTTTTTAAATTACTTCGGCTGGTCATATACACAAGGGCATGTTTTACGGTTGAAAGACATTCGCCTCCACTTTAACTCAGCTAGTTGCTTCGTGGACAAGATTTCTGTGAAACCATTCAATTTGGGCTGAAGACTTCACCGAGTGAATCAGGACCTAAGCGAAACCCAGATTGCCCCGTTTTCCAGAGTTCTGCCGCACGTTTTGCCAACCAAATTTTGCCTCACCTTTCGCGATTGTGTTTTAATGCGTTGTGGTTAAATAGCCTGTTTCAATAAATGTTCATTTATTAAAAAAATGATAATTTTAAAATCCTGGTATGCGCACCAGAAGTCAATTTACAAAATGCTCAGAATCAGTTCGTGTGGATACGTGGGATGTGGGGCGTAGCAGGTCCGAAATGATTAGTCGTGCAGGTACTTTACATCACAAGCACGTCTTCCATTCTGAATGCAGGACTCCACGTTCAAACACAGTAACAAATCCAGAAGCAAAGTCAACCATTTTTTTCTCGCCTTGCACTTTGTATCCCGAATTCCAAATTTTCCCATTTATAATACTTTCCAGCAAACTAATTCTTTAGTCAAATGCCAGAGTTTCTGACTGTATTTCGGGGCACATTTCGTCCTACATATTTAGAAGGACATAACTTCGACGAACAAGACATTTTCTTTTCATCCCAAAACTACCGTATTTTATGCCTACATTCGTAATTTTTTTATGAGCATTACAGCGTGAATATTACTGGAATATGTGCACTCTGTACCACTGGTAAGACAACAGTGGTACTCTTGACTAAAATAACTATTAGGGTCAGCAAATTACCCCAGTCGGAGTTCAAATACCTCTTACGCGCTGGCTGGAGGAGCCAGATTTAAACTCACCCACTGCCGTGAACGGATTGGGGTTTGTGAAATGCTTGCCGACGTCGGCTAAGCAGACGCAAGTAGACTACTTTCCAACCGGCCCTAACCCAGAGTGCCATGTAATGATGCACACAAACAGTCAATTGACGTTGTGAGAGGCATGAAAAGTAGATCGCCTACCTGAATTTCTGTGGGGCCAAGTGCTATTGCCTTCAAACCATCCATTGATACCACGTGACTGCACTTCCCATGTTTACAATTACAATTACCATTGTTCAGTCCTAACATTGACCACTCAGTCTTATTTTCAGTGCAAAACAGTAAAATGTCGGTGAGCCTGACCAACTAACTCAGTGCTTTATGTAGGAAGGTGCATTTCAAGTTCAGAGGTGTAGTGGACCCAGGGTTACAGGTATCTAGTGCTTAGTAGTACCTCGTGTTTTTACCTAGGAGGAGCATATAATAGCACCTGGATCTCATGGTCAGTGCCTGCTGTGGGCTTGCAAGGCTTGTAAAAAGAAGACCATGCAGGTGGACCGTCGCAAGGCTGCCACGATGAGGGAGCGCCGTCGACTGCGCAAAGTGAACGAGGCATTCGAAACCTTGAAGAGGCGCACCTGTTCCAACCCGAACCAGCGCATGCCCAAGGTGGAGATCCTCCGCACCGCTATCGATTACATAGAAAACCTAGAGGAGATGCTCCACCGCAACGGCGTTCTGCTTGATTCCGCATCTGCCTCGTCCCTTCTCCGCTCCTCCAGTCGATATCCCACCACGGCTGGTTCAGTTAATAGTACTAACAGCAAGATAACTTCCGTAGAGGGCGCGAGAGTTCAGCGAGTTGTTGGCGGAACAAGAGGAAGGAAGACTGGAGCGCTTACAAAAGGGGATAAAGTGGGGAGCACCCGAGCCGTCTATTCTATCGTGACGACCTCTTCTGCTACCACCACCACCACTAGCCCTGCTTCCTTCATGAAACTGGAGACTTCTCAAGCTATGGTGAGTTCTTATTCTTTGTCTGGTGATTTGAAAGTCATGAAAATCCATTCACATAGCAATTTTTGTTCGTCCACATTAACTGACTGCCTATTCTTCAGCATCTTGTGTTTACTTCTGGGCCACGGTCCATCAGTGGCATGTTCATTTAACTCTGCGAATAGCCCTCAAATGAAGATTACCAGGTTGGAGAAGTGCAACAGGGCTCTCGGAAGTCAATTTTGTGGGCAATTGACAAAACCGTCTTGGGTATGGTCTGTTCCTCAGTCACTCATTCATCAGTAATTGGCGTGGTGGGCAGGCGGCTGCACACCAGTCGGAGTTGAGGCGAGAGGGGGAACCACAGTTTTTCTACCTTGCGGAGTCTTGATTGACGATTGTAGGCAAGACCGTGGCGGGTGGGGGGAGGGAGCTATGCCCAAGACGCCCGCATTTTCTAATAACTAGTGGATCAGCTAGGTGGACCCATCTTTGTGGTGAGGAAGGCGAGAGGGGTGGGAAAAACAAAAATCAGTGGGCCTTTGATGAAAACGGCAGGTGGTACGAGGCCGGTTTTGTCTTACCACCGCCCCCCCCATTCCTGAAGGGCATTCACATAGGCTCGACAATGTGGTGGGGAGTGGTGGGGAAGGGTGCACTCGATCCGTCATAACCACCGTTTGGTTAATTACTCGGGTGGCTTTGCAATTCTGAAGGGACTGTGCCCACGTGCCCCTTTATAGTGTCTAACCGTTTTAACAACCAGATGAGGGAGTGGCATTTAATTTGATGTGCGGTTCGCGGGTATTGTGGAGCTACTAGTCGACTTACGAGTCCCTGTGCATCGATCCTTTGCTAGGATTTGTGATTATAAGCGAGCTTGAACCTGGTGGTTTTTTCGATGTTAGCACTTCTAGTCGGTGGTTTTAAAAATCTCGGTACTGATGTCAGCTGCTGTGCGCTGAGTCTGACTCACTTCCCTTTGTGTCAAGTGTTTCGATCACCGAAATTAGGAAATGGTGCCAAAAATGGAAGATTTGGGAATGGTTAGGTGAACCGTTACTTCCAGCAAAGCCGACATTCAGCTTAGAGATTATGGGATCTGTGCAAAACCACAAATTTAGTTAAGCTTTTTTGGCTCCATGGTAGTAAGTAAATCCATGTCCATTGTAACAGGTTTGAAGACTGATTGAGCACGACATGAAGTCAACCTTAGTTAAATATTCCCGGTTTTTTGGGTCTCTGTGTGCCAATCAAGATTTAGAAGTACCATAAATCGTGTGATTGAGTTGGCATCTGAAGTTCTTCAAGGAAGAACTCATCTGAAATAGTTTTTGCGGCTAAAGTCCTCTCTCAAATAGGTAAAAAACCATGACAACGTGTAAGTCCAACCCATGAATGTTCATTGACACTTTTCAGACATTTAAGCAGCATAAATTATAATATAAACTGTCATTTGCAAAAAGCATCCACGACAAACCTGTGGTGGCCTTTCGCGATGTCAATAGTGCATAAATAAAAACACTTAATCACACTGGAACCACAGAAGTGCGCCAACCATGGAAGGTTCGTTCAGAAACTGTCATCTCACTTTAATTTGCTCATTCGGAACAGTGCCGTATTTAGAAATACGCCTACAGAATGAGTTTTGTCCAGACGCTCCTGCCCCTACGGCACCACAGCCACTCCCCGACACCCCTAAGTGTACAAAATCACGGCTAAACACGGGTCTGGCAGACCGTAGCTCTTCCCTCCCCCCCTTCCCACCGGTAGACAAATGGGCGTGTGGATGGCCTGATCCCCTGGTGGTGCGGTCGTCTGGTGAAAATGTCATAAACACCCAGGGTCGGTACTTTAGGGCGAACGATAATTATGGGTAGCCCACTATGCCGAGTGTATGGACGAACAGTCTGACCAATGTATACCAGTTGCGGTTAGAGTCTCACTGGCGCCTCTTAATTTCGATCCATCTCGTCCACATTAGTCAGCGGTCAAATTGTCAAGGCTGTGGATACGACACTGCTAAATGTCACGAGGAGAATGATGGGAATGCCTGTTTGTTGGTGTTCGTAAGTGGCTACATCAAAATCCGATTCGGCTGCATTCAATTGTTTTTTTTTTGAGGATTCGTCTTTGTTTTCAAGCAACTCTGCAGAAAATGCTTAGAGAAAACGAGTTACGCGCGTGACGTCTCGAAATCGAATTGCCACATTCACTGGTGTTTTATGATTAGGTATAAACAACACTAAACGCAAATTTGTGAAGTCAAATGCTTAAAAAAATCAAACTTTCGTCAATTCTTTGAAACCCCACGCTACAAAATTAGCTATTACATATAGTTTTCAAACTTATTCTACTGATTTAATTGTCGCGCTCTCATTATTGAAGGTATTTGAATGCATCCTGCTTCACAACATACAAAAAAATTGTGGAAATAAATGTGTGACCCTCTAGACCTGATCTTCCACTGTCATCAGCGAATTTTTATCGAAGAGTTTGTTTGTCATCCGTTGAAATTCAAACTTTTAACCAAAAATAGCATTCCAGAGTATTTTGGTCGATCTTGCTTTGTTGAATTTCATTTTATCACGATTTGCTATTTGAAAATGCAGCGAAACCCCAGCACGCAAATTTCAGCCTATAACGCACATTTTCAACTTCACGTCCGATTACAAAGTCAGGAGTCCCCAGTCAAATCGCTCTTCGCAAAAACTAAATCTAGCTTTTTAGCACCTCGAAGGATTTTAATATTTCATAGGTATAAAATCAATAGGACCTGTAAAGGTCCAATACATTAACACTTTCGTGGAATTAAGCCTAAAGCCCTGTTTACGGTGAAGTTGAGTTCGACAGAGAAGGATGTGTGTGCTGCCTGGCATTTTAAGTGCCACTAAAATGTAACATTTTTTATTGCAGACGACGGGGGAAGAGCCCTACCGAGGATACTCGGCTAGCCTCGCCAACAATGGCTGGTCAACCTCCCTCCCGGTTCACGATCAGAACCCCGTAAACGGTGAGCCCAAATTAAGGCATCCTTTTGCTACCACTCTGTCTAGACTGCATATTTGTCCCATTTCATGTCTCTCCACATGCCAGAAATAGAGGAAAAGAGAGTGCCTAATGAAGGGTGCATATTACCAAAGTGTTTTTGTACTTGCGCTTTCTGAAACTGATCAGGTAGTCGAGGCCATCGACTTTCAAGCCACGCATATTTACACAAAATACAACCAAATTTATAAAATTCGGCTTCATTCATGTGCATACTGAAATTTTTTGCGTGGTTGGTGGTTGTGGTACACGTTTGGTGTTATATCCTCTCAAACTGCATCTCGGATTCCACCTTCACTGATTATTTTTCGTGTCATATGTCACCTCTGAATACCCGTATGTTCGATAATTGTCGATATTATTTTGCCGACTGCTGCACGTATTGACTTTATAGTCTTCAAACCCCGGGGGCTGGTGGCCAAAACGGCAATAGCGCCATAAATCCTATGGATTTGTCGGTCCAGATTTTCAGGTAGACTGCCTAAGCTATTTTAAATATCGGTTACTAGCCCTTTTCTAAATTCGTCGGCTTAAATGATTATTGATTTTACTAAGAAGCATCGTATCGATGTTACAAAGAAGGGAATAATAATATTTAGTAAATAAACTATTGGGCACTTAATGACGTAGGCAAATACTTCGCTAAAGTGAGACGCGCACGCTGATTGGATGGTTTGTTGTCCTTAGGTGGTATCGTGACAGCGGTCTCCCCTCCACCGCCCTGGCGACACGTGGCAACGGCACTGGGAGGGCCCGACAAGCCCGCCTCCGCAGTACCCGAAAAAGCCCTCTGCTGATTGGTCGCCCGCCCTCCGACGCCCCCTCCTTGCGTGTGCGTGCACACACACACTCGTCACCCTACCTCAACCCGGTTCTTCTTGGCCTTCACCCCAATCCAGCTTTCGACGTACACTACGATTTCCACTGACCACTTTGTATTACGACAAAAAAAATTAATAGTATCGATGTTTTTTGCTCTAGTTTCGATATATGCTAAAGCATTTTATTGTAAATACAAACACTTGCGTCGTAACATGTATGTGAGTTACTGCCGAACCACGGGTTTAAATTAATGCACGAAAATACGGGGTTGTGAACTTAGGAATCAAAAGGAATGATAAGTTGGCGGAAAGATTATAAACACATAGAACCCATAATGGAAAAAAGTGGTAAATGAAAGTTAATAGTCCTTTTCTTTGAAATGGTGTCGGTTTATTGTTGTGTTGCCATCGTTGAACGGCACATTTTAAAGGAAATTATACTTTATGGCTTTCGGAAATGCCCATTAAGTGTTGTAGTGAAGATTCGAATTACAACCAGAGAAACGATTTAGGCGAAATTCAAAGTGCAACTTCATTTAGAAACTCGAACTCTAGGACAGTCCAACAAAGACTAGAGGAGGATACAAAGTTACTAGGAGTTAATCGATTATTGCAAAAAATGCTTCATTCCGTTAAAATCGGTACTCCTTATTCCCCACGTTTCACTAAAACTCGGAGAAACGCAAAACATGGTTTCAGAGCGAAATCGATTATCGCAACTTGTTCCGAATGTACCAGCTCGTGACATATCATTACTATATTTTCCTTTAAATAAGGCAGTCATTAGCTGGGTATTGATTCATTATTAATTATGCATTTAGGTCCACGCCGTAGGTGAACACAATTTTTGAACCGGAGTGTTTAAAACTAAAAACCGTGAAAAGGCCTTCACGAAAAACTGTTGCTGTTGTTAAGCCGAACCGATTCTAAGACAATTTTAGTTAATGAAGCCCTAAAAAGACCAATACTTCAAGCAAACCAAAGTACTTTAATGAATTAAGCATCCTACTTGGTTGATATGGCAGCCAAATATCCATAAAAGTTAGTACGGTCTACTGAATAACTTATTTTTTTCAATTAACCCATCAGTTTTGAACCTTTTGTTTTCATTTAAAAGGGCTTTTTAAAGCTTACTTTTTTAAATTTCTTCATTTGTAGAGATAAGTATACCATAACACAGTTGATAACTGGCACCTGAGCACTTCTAGTACCTATTCGGAAACTTTAACCGTTCGAATGAGCCCTCCTCTTGAAGGACGATTCTATCCACATAATAACCGCGTAGAAATGCAGCAATTCGTCAGAGAAACCAGCCTTGTTATGTAATCAAGATCGGGTGAGAGGGCGGAGGCAGCAGGGGTGAAGATGACCAGCCAAGCCGCGAAGGTTTTCTTGACCAAATGGTGTTGTGCGCGGATTCGTGTAGTCATGCAGGAAGAAGAACTTTCTGTTAATAACTGCAAGACTCTTTTCTTGTAGTTTTACTCGAACTTGCTGTAACCTGGGCGCACACACACACAGCTATACTGATAGTTTTGTTACTTTGTTCTGTTTGTAAGTAAATAACTCAGTTATTCCACCATACTAAATTTTCCTGTACTGTTAGTTTTGATTCTATCCTGGCTGCTGGTCTATTTCTTACAACGGCGTGTTCACAGGTGGCAGAGCACGGTTGTGATGGGGATCAGCACTCCTCAACACTTTCGCCCACTCTTCTCCAGCTCAGTCAGCTGATTTCGATTCAACGCCCAGATTATGGACCCATTCTTGACTGGTTAACCGTTCTTGACAAAGGAAAACGGATGGTTCATATACTTAAGTTAACGACGAGTCAATCGACTTCGACCTTCCTCCTCTTATCGGAGTACTTTGTGCTGTTTCTTTCTCGCGCTTGTCTTCTTGCGTTACCCAACGTCCTTGTGGGAGCTCCACAGCAACCTTGCTTGCATCTGTCTCTGCACTTAGAAGGTGATTAGTGGGGTAATGCTTAACCTTAACGCAATTCCCTTTTTTTACAGGAGTCGTCAACATGGGCATTTAAAATCCCTTCAAAGTCTGATGGGTAACCTGATTTTAGTCAACCTTCGTTCAAGCATAGAACAACGCTCGATACTCAGACCATGGTAAGAATGCAGAAAGTGGTGAGATCATGTTGTATGACAGTAGATAAATGAGGGTTAACGTTTTAAACGGTTAGCAAATATCAAGTAACCAAACACCCTCTGTCACAGGAAATGCGTGACACTTACGAGTCCTTTGGGCATGTCTCATGCTCCAACTCCCTTTAAGATTAAGTCTTCAAATTCTCAAGTCTTGACAATGTCATAGTACCACGATTCCCTTGGAATCACTTAATACGCACATTTAAAAATGTCATGCAGTAATTTTTGAAGTAATAATGCGTTTTATACACTGAAGAACTTGTTTAAAAGTAAACTCAATAACAATGAATCTACGTGACATCATTACCATGCTATAAAGTGATGTCGCAGAAATGTCAGTGTTAATTTATGTCAGACGATTCCTGAAAAGTGACATAGGCGACCGCAAGTGTAGATTACTTTGTCTCCATGGTGAAGAGGTTTGGTCGAACATCTACTCAGTTGGGTCTGGAATTAGTTTGATAAGATAAAATGATTATTAAAAGCAGCACATTGGGGATTTATGGTTGGTTGAAATGTAAAGGCTGAGTGGAAAATGTTATTGACTATCGCGATGCATTAAGCAGATGAATCTGCATTTACATTCACACAATAATTTATCGGATGTTGGTCCAGTGTACAAACCAGACTGTTGGCAACCAAATAAATCAACACAAAAGCGTACATTATTGCTAAACGAGTAGACATTTCGCCTTTTTTGAAGAGGCTAAACGACGGTATTTTAATGGAGATGAAAGTTGGGATGTCTGGAAGAGCATGAAAAGGTAACAACTGTTGCTGGACAACAACCTGCGTCTCTTCCTTTCGAAAAGGGGGAAGAGTTGCTCCTTATTGAATTGCAGAGGGATGAGGGCATTAATCTTCCTTGAAATCGAGCTAAAAGCATAATAAATGGAGTGTCTTGTTAGGCAGGCAAAAAAGCGCACACAGCGCATTTATTAACCAGCTAGCGATAGCAAATCCACTTAAGCCGCATGATATTGCCAGACCCCTTGTCGACTACACGATTATTATTACAGAAGGGAACCAAGCAAAAAACCTCCGTTACAATGACAAAGAACAGAACATCATGACAACCAACGAAGGCAAAATGATGATTGTTTTTTCTTATTTGTCTGACGATGGTTGTAATTTAGAGTGCACGACTCAATGCTAGTGAAAGAAAGGTTGATAGATAATTTGGTGGCAAAGAAGCCGCAAAGCTATGATCCAGAGGGTAAAGGTCTCAACTATACTCACAAGAATTCAGTTTTACCTTCATTTTCAATCACACATCTGCTCCTTCCTACTCAAAAATCTGACAGTTTAGGGATTTGAACCAGCATCATATTTGTGCAAAGCAGCGCAAAGTAAGAAGTGCAATAGCAAATTCAAATGACTGGAAATATGGCTTTACTTCGATGTTCCGTGAAGTGAGCTACTTGAGTACTTGGGCCTTGCCCCCTTCTCATGCTTATGTTGAATGGCACTAGCTTATAATTCAATGCTTATTTAAAATTTCCATTTTTGAGAACTAGGCGTCCATCGAGACTTCTGAAATCGGCATTCTACTGAATTGTCGGAAAATCACTTTTCATTTGCAGGAAATTTACCATTGTTTCAGATCATGTCGCATTAGATGGACAAGTAGGCAGACAGAGCTCATGGTTAAAAACTGCCGCTTACAAAATGTAATCAGGAGAAACAGGACAAATTCTGTCTTTTGCAGTTTCTTTCCGCAAAACTAAAAAAACCAAATTAAATTTATCTGTATTTTGCATGAGGCCACATTTGTGTACATTAATTCTTGAATCTTGTCAAGTTGGGACTTCGATTTAGGTGCCAGTTTTTGAAGGAATGGCGTGCTTACCAAATTACCGATGGCTTAAACAGCTTGAACACGAGGATGAATGTTAAGAGCGTTTTGGTAACATGCATTACATTTAGATGTGAGTCATTATGATTCCTAATTTTCACTTGACCAAATAGAATTTCTCGTTTACACGCTTGACGGAGCAACATCTTGAGAGATGTGTGCCACGGGGGGGATAGAGGACAGCAAATATAGAGAGCCCACTCACCATTGTTTTTCAAACTCAGTAATGTTGAAAAACTTCAGTTTGTGGGTAGCATGCGTGCATAAAGCCCACAAATATCAGGACAGTTATACAATAATTGATGCGTTCCAACATGGCCAGCCTGAGGACGAGGCCCGAGAGACTCGACTGCGAGGCTGTCCTGCTCGAGGTTGCAGTGGGTGAGAGGTTGCGCTGTTGCAGGCGTCGACTCAGGCGCAGGCGAGCACCGGAGGGGCCGCGCCAACCAACGCACACAGCCACGTGCACAGACAATGAGGCCGCGAGGGTCACCTCCGATCCACGTTCCGTTCATCTGTTGTCATTACAAGTTGATATAAGTACCCTGCTGCACAAAACACAAACAACCACCAAAGTTGACTGTGGTGGGAATCGTGTTAAGTGTATAGGCATGAGTGATGATGTGGGACAGTGCCTTGCCCACCTTGTTTGTCGATGGATTGAATAAAAGTGCAAGGTAGGAAAGGTGAATGCGTTTCAGGTTGTAACATGCGAACCCGAAACCGAAAAAGACAAGTAACCTATCTTTTTCTGAATTCGGCGTACCTAAATATGCATTTTAGTGAAATTCACGCCTTTCTGTTCTACACTTTTAGTAGACCCTAATAACTATCGAACCGAGGCATCGAAGTGCCTAAGACATTATTACTAACGGAAGTTCAGGCACTGCATTACTCCATTCCCCAAATCCGTGATTAGCAGTCATGGTTGACAACATTTGAGTACCGGGGTGAATCAAAATTGCGTGGCCTTGGAAATTTTATTTGTAACTGTTCGTGCCCGACAGAGGCATGGACAAATCACTGTGTGGACATTTTTCCATATTCATTGTCTATGTTTGTCTTGAATGGCCATTAATTTACAACAGTTTACGGTAATTTGGGCACAGTGGTAATGCTCAAAATAGAAAAAGAAAAGTAACATGTGAGCTTAAAATGAGTGAGTGAGCATTAAAACTGCAACAAAAAAGTATTTAAGACGTTTTCTTGAATCGAACTCCTGCTCCTGGGACAGTCGTAGGGTGGATTAGTCGATTTCAAAATGGTGACTTCAATCAAAACGATAAACTTCGCCCCTTGCGACCCTCGTGCATTGAGCTCAATTTTCTTACTGACTATGACCCATTTTGAATTCAGTTTACTTAACCTAATCCCGCTTCCAAATTAGTGTATAAAAGGGTGATTATTTATATCACTGAATTTGCCATGAATGAGGTTGTGTTTGGTGTAGATGAAATTGTAGATATTAACTTTATACCCACATGAAGCTTTATTGGAACTGTGCGGCGGCTAACTCACTCTCCTTAGTCTGACCCACGGGTTTCCGCTTATGGCTAATGACGAGGAGTGCTATTTAAAACCAGAGATCTCGTTTTCTAGGCTTTCCACTTCGGAAACGCTTCGAAGGTGCGTGGCTCAAAAGGGTAGGTCAATGTGTTAGTTAAGTCAGCACACAATGGCCATCGTTTTGAAGCAAAAAAATAGATTACCTGCGTTAACGATTAACTACGTCTCTGCCTGATCACCTAGGGGAGCACACAATGACACAATGGATAACTAAGCATCCCAAAACGATAAATGACATTTACATTTACTTTTAACACCATCAAGCAAGAATGATTCCTATGGAAATGCAACGGCTTCACCAAGGTTCATTTGCATAAATTAGGGCTTGACAACCATCGCGAATATTAGAAGAGGCAGCAATATGACCGGAAACTTAACCTTCACCCCTGATGATAAGCCAACTAGGCCAAAGGGGGGGACTCCCGTGGCTGACATGACGCAAATCTCCCCTTACCCGAGGCGTGGTTACAGCGTAACGATTAAACCCCGTGCAACCAGTCACACCACCTTAACGACAGGAATCAGTGAGGTAAGTGAAGTTAATGGGGCACTCACGAGACACAAGATGCCTTATTTAAGGGTTCTCATTGAGTTAATGCAATATTTGGTACGCGTTGCTGACTACGATTTCTGGCACGTCGACTAAAATTCCCAGGGACGTTTAGTCAAAGGCCTTTCTTAGGATCACACTGCCCCGTAATAAGGAATCAGTCTGCTGTCACGGTTGCAATAATCACATGATTTTGTAGATAATTCTACAGAAAAATTTTACATGCATTAAGTCGCCTTTGTTAAAATGGTAAAATTATTACACACATCATTATTTTTCCCTCAAGAATGAGGAAAATTCCTGGCGGGATTCATTGACTTGTCAACTAAGTAGAATCAACATATAAATGAAAAAAAATGTTTGTGGGGAATTCAGGTTTGCCCTGAAAACTAACTTTGACCATTATAAACTCACTTCGATCAGTTATTTTAGTCCATATTTAGTCAGGTTGTTGGATTTAGGGACTTAGTTGCTTGGAGATTTGTGACGTGGGCTATCCATCGGCGTGGTGAGCCCTCTAAACGGGAACACTGTTCATTCCGACATGTTTGTGGTAAAAAAAGTAAGTCTTTTCTTGCAAGGATTGCGGCAGCTTTGTAACGACCTGAAGGAGGTTTCCTGTAAGTCAAAAATCACGCCTTGAACTGGATTAGTAGACGAAGGAGATATTCGAGTCAGTTTCCCTTAGCTAATTATTTTCATTCTAGCTACGAGATGCACAACGAAGTGGGAGACCATGAGTAAATCCCACAACATGGGCTGCGAAGAGCCACATTCAGGTTATCATTGCTTGGCAGTTTTGATGGCCAGTTCCATCCCGTCTCTCCACGACCCATGGAAAATGCGCCCTCGACAATGACAAACAGGAATAATTAAATTAGCTAAAATTTTACGTGAGGGGAATTCAGGAGGTTTTCTGGTTTAAATCCAAATTAAAATACGTCGTTACTCGGAGTGACGGCCATCAATAAAATTATGCATCACTACTCCATTCCATCTTGCGGTGTTAAAATTGATCTGGCACCCAAGTCACGGGCTTCGGTTAGAATTTGATTTGAAGACCGCGAGTGGCCCAGGGAGACTCAGTCGCCTTTTAGCATGGACACACGCCATTAGTGGTCGAACAACTGTTATGACCCTCTGAAGGTAATGTGAACCTTCACTAGCGTTCTTAATAGCACACTGCGATACCACATACATTCCAGCTATTTGTGAAAACCAATTTAAATTTGCTTTGACGAAACTACTTTCAAACTTTTCATTCTTAAAGTGTCTAGGTATAAAACTGCCAAGGTAAATCACATTTTACTCCATCGCGCTCTGAACAAGTGCGGAATCTCCGAATTGGAGCTCCTGTCTTGATGCACAAAATTTCACTGTTGGTTACAAGATTGGGCTCGATTTTTTTATTGCTATTGGAGAGAATCATAGCTGAAGACAATGCAGGGATTAAAAAATATTCGGCTTTAAAAGTTAGACTTTGTGCATTTTAATGTCAATAAAATGAATGGACTACAAGTTACCAAAAGTCAACTAAATCTGACTATTACATCATCGCATAAATTAGACGGCATGTAGTTACGCACACTAAAACAGTCTTGCATGCTTTGGTCAGTAAGTCAAAGAGGACAACTTCGCTTGTAAGAAATCGACAAATTAACTATTTGATAACCAAAGTGTAGTCCTTCCGTAAACTTTAAACAGCGTCCAAATATTGGGGCTGCCAAGTGGACGGCTTGACCTCAGACGGTTAGGAAGTGCCATCGCGACTAACCAAAGTAGGTCATGCCTCACTAGTGCCTGCATCAAGATGCAACATTCACCGCCCCCTTTTCGACCAGTTTGTCTACGAAAGTATTTCGTGTGCAGCATAACAGCCGGATCTGGAAGAGGCTCAGTTGATTACCACAGCTTTCGGAGACGCAAAGCTAAACATATTTTAGCGGAGAGTGAGGCAACACGTTTAACACGGCAAACGCTCAATGAATACAAACTGTGGTGGGAAGTGGGGAAATATGCAGAAACCGGGTGTTGGTGATTACGCAAAAGGGTAAATTCTCCATGAGCCGAAATTAGTCGAAAGCATAGCTCTGACCCCAACGTCACATCAAAAGACTGAAGCAGTACTCGCATAAGTGTCCTCATTTCTCAATCAATTTTCCAAGATGAGGTTATACCAATGGCATAATCGTCCTTAAGAATTGATTAGACTTAACAATGAAGTGGGGACAAACAAAGCATTTGAAAGAAAGAACAGGGGGCTTGAAAGTTCCCATTACATCCTTATTTATTGGGATAGGACTCGTACGGAAATATCACCATAACGAAACCTCACTTTAATTGGCAGCACTGGTCCAGCACTGTTGGTTAAAATGAGATAATATTAATAAGACCCAAGAACCTGACATTGATCAAAAAGGTTAAGAGAAACTCGATGGTATGCTTGGTGACACACTTCCACGAGCGAGGCGTTCAAACGGTGGTACTCGAACGGGATTTCACATTGTATGCTCGCTCTGTTTTCCTTTTTAGGTAAATTAGATGCCTTAAAATGTGAGCATGAATGCGAAATAACGTACTTTTAAATTTGACCTACTTTTTTTAGATAAAAATGAAAACTTTTAAAGAAAAAAGAAATGTGAAATTCCGTCAAATGGGAGTCCATTTTTTACCCATAAGGAGGAGGAACAGATGAGACATGTCTGGCCGCATGAAAAATTGGACGTGTAGTTTCATAAACAGCTGAAGTCACTTCATGGGTTCTAGAATGTGATAACAGATTAATTAGTCGGAGCTGAGAGGGAAACCTCGTATCACAATTTAGTGAATCTGTGCAATCGATTTCATTGATCAAAGCCGCAACACAGGTGCTTGTGGCGTTTGAGTAACTTGCGTGGGCCACTTCACTTCTTCACCATGATAATAACTGGCTTGTTACCGCTTTAAGGCTCGTCCATTCATTAACTCCGGATGAGGTGAGGCTTCTCCATACAATATTATGGCCGGATTTCCCTTGAAAGTTATCAACGTAACCATTGAATAATTTCTGTCAAGTCGAATAGGGAGAGAATTCTCTCCTCAAATGTTAATTACTGCCGAAGAAGTCTCCTTCAATCACACTGGAGAGAACCTTGATGGTACTTAAACATCTTGCTTGAACGAAGTGAATTGGGGGTTTCGGGAAACATTGGTAGGAAGCTAAAAAGTACCTGGGGTCGCCTTCAGAGTTTCTGACAATACGTTTGGTAAACACCACCCTGGGAATTTTCAGGAGCATTGTGAACCTGGGTCAGCTAAGTCGCTAGCGAAATGCCAGAAAATTAATTGGAGGTAAAAGTCTTTAGTCAGGGATACAGATTCATCATTTTTTGCGGTAACAACCATAAAGATACAACCTTAACAACAAAACCACAAATCCAGGTTTCAGAACTGGTGTTGTTTGGTCATGGGCAGATGCTAAGGTACTTTCGGTTTAGTAATGCAAACCTCATTTTGTGTACTTTATATTTTGTCCGATGACCTTCTGGCTTCTTTCAGGCAACCTCGTGATTCCGCGTTCATTTAACAAATGACCGAAGTAGGTGTGATTACATTATGGAGATGAGGCATCAGTCCCCAACCAAGCCTTGGTAATTTTCCACGATTTGGGAGAGATCTGTGAAACCTTCCGTCTGCGGCCAGTTATAGTTGTCATCTTCTTTTGGTTCCAAACCCACTTTCATTAGTTGCTAAAAGTCAACATCCGAACTGATAGTTTTATCACCAGATTTAACAACATGGTATTTTTGGATACACGTCGGCTTTCGATGTGGCTTTCCTAGTTCTTCATGTTTGTACTACGAAAGCTTCCAATTACTGGTAGTGTATGCCATCCATTATTTTCCATTCTCTGTGGTGAACCAAATCAATAAGTGAACCTGAGAAGCATATTTGTATCATTCAGTACTTGGTAAAGCGGTCATTTTCTCCAGTGGCTTTTCATTAAGGGGTGCCTACCTAATTATCGTCTGACTGGATAATATACTTTTTTGCGGACTAGCCACGTAAAAACGCGAATTTGAAGGCTCCCATCCCGCCATCACTCGAGCACGCACCCCGTCCCGGTGTGTGCATCCCTCGCCCACAGCACACTGGCATGCCGGAGGAGTGGGTGGGGTGTGTAGGGGTGGGGCGTGGAGGGGAACGCAGAACCGCACGTGTCCACCTGCCGTTGGGTGCGGTGTGATAGTCAGTGGGGATTTTGGTGAACATTTTCATCGCCGGGGTCGTGCGCCGGGTGTGCGGACCGAATGGATTTTGACGGGCACAGGCTACTTACTTGTCGAGCAGGTAACTCGCCTTGATCTCGTCGTCTATCAAACGCCTCAAGTCTGCGGCTGTTTTGGCTATCCGGGCCTACTTGTGAAGCCCATGATCGATGTTCACCAAGTGACTACCTGGATTCCTGCAATGTAGAGGCACCCTGCCAATGGTTCTGCAGGAGTGGTAGAGTTAGACTGAATCTACGGCGACTTAAAAGGGTGCGAATTCATCTCGCGTGACCCTTCTCTTTCGGTTACGTCTGTGTGTTCAGAATTTTTAGAGCAACTGCTTAGGCAGTTCCCACGTTAAGTTTAAGCGAAATACAAAATCTTCCACTGTGACTAACTAATCTCGGTCAGAAAGACGGGACGAGCCTACACGGTTTGGCTGTTTATGATCTGGCAATCCATTGGGCGAGACTTGGGTTGAGGGAACTTCAGAGTTAGGTCCTCACTACTAAAAATGGCTGCCGACAATACCTAATTAACTGAAAGTGAGAAGTTTGGTTGTGGCATAAGTGGCAACTTCAACTTCTCAAGAGCGTTACTTTATGGTTTTCTATCTTTATTTTACTAGCTAATGCGTTTACAAAAAACACCTTTCTACCCACATAGGCCGGGAGTTTGCAAAATCATGGCTTTATTTGTCCTCGGTTGAAGAAGATTGCTGTTCGAATGGGTCCTCTTAGCATAATCAGTTCTCCATTACTAAATTTAGCCCCCTACCTGGAGGGATCTCGAATTTCCCAGATGGAGAGTCCCAAAAATTCCAGCATATTGAAGCGCCTTCCCAACTCAATTCGCTTTCAAAACAGGTAAGGGCAAGTACCTGCCAATCTAGCTCGAAGACATGCGATAGGAAAGGCTACGAGGCCACGGAAGCCTGCAGACTACGATAATTCACGGCGAACTGATCCGACAGACACAGTTGGGATGCAAATACAAGGCCCCTTTTAAACAATTTAAACGCAGCAGTCTTGAAGCCGATTTCGTTGTGTCGAGAGCAGAACATTAAGAAAAAAAATGCCTACCTCGCATTTCACGTCAGAAAGGCAAAATAGCTGCATAAACTGACGGGGAGTGGTACTGAGCAATGAAGACCTTTAAACACGTGTTCGAAAAATTTCCCAGTCAAATCAGAAAAAACGGGGCGGCAAATCATTTTACTGGAAGTCATCATTCCCAAGACAAATGATTTCATAAAACTGAGATTTGTGACTGTTTTGTTTGCCTTTGATCCCACGATCAAGCTTTCAAAAACATCTCGAAGGTGGCACGTTCATACTACCGACTCCTCACTCAGTGGAGATCGGCATGTAACGCGCCTACCGAGCGGGGACCTAAATAGGGAGATGACCGTTAGCCCGTCCCTCTTACATAGCCACACCATCATGGTTAGCTACCAAGCACACGATAGAAGAATAGCTGGAAGAACCGGATGTATTCCATGCTACCGCATACAAACTCAGAGGGCTTGAGCTTTGGGAGAGTTAGAGTGGGAAAAGGGATGGCCGCGAGGAGGGTTAAAGTTGCCCTCGGACTCACGGGCGTGCCTTGAGGAAGGCGAGAGTGTGGGAAGGGAGAGGAGGACAAAGAACAGGCCAACCGGCGTGCGTGGGTCGAATGGCGCGCGTCACAAGCAATTAATTCGTGTACCCGCCGTCTGAACGCGTGTTCTGCAACCGATAATCGAAATATTTGCAGTTGAGAAGGTTAGGTATCTAGGAATAAGGCTTTACATTATATTATAGAATTACCGTCCAAGCTGTATTCCCTTAATGATTGCACTTGGAATGTCAAACAGCGTTTTATACGTTCTACTTTATTGATTAAAGTAAGCGTGAAATATCGAGCTTGGCGAGATGACTAGGACAGGGAAATAGTTTCGTTACAAATACAGTGCTTGTGCACTTGCTTTAATTTTTAGAGATCCACAAATACGAATTTTGAAGCACAAACAAGAGTAATCGATTGCATTTTGTGTGTACAGCTTAGATGTGCATAGGAAGTTATTTCCGGTGAGTCACTGATGGCGTAGAGCGTATTGGCCAAGAAAGACATCCCAACGTGTAGTAATATGTAACCCAAAGTCATTTTTACACACTGTGTTCTGGGATTTAAGTTATCCTCTCAAAGTTACACAAGCGCAGTGTGAAACCAACCGAGGCAGTTAAATTTAGGGGTACAAAAATGCCAAAGGGGAAAGCACTTATTACTAGATCTACTTGCCCACTAAAAGCCATTGACAGTAGGAATGGCAACTACACGTGTCACCCTATTTGGAATGTCATCAATACCGAAATGATGAGCCCTCTATTTTATTTGCTAACAATAAATCTGGCCTATTTGTTATGTAAGCTCGGTTGGTAATTGTAGCAAAATTTACTACTCTGAAGTAGCAAATCAGAGCACCATAATCAGCCCGGAAAGCTAGACGCGTCCACTGTTGGTCGACCGGTACAACGGCAGATCGATGAACACACGACAGAACAACGTCGGAACGCACTCCGTCTGCTCGACAGCGATATTGCCATGTTTTCTGGTGAAGACGAACAATCTCGCGAACACGTCTTTAGTTAAGCTAGGGCTGCCCAGTCTTGCTTATCTCGAACACTGAATGCATCCACTTATTCTTCTGGGCAATTAGAACGCAGTGAACTGACGAAGACTCATCAGCATCTACATTTCTACTAATTACTCGGTATTAGCGCACACCAGTAGGTAGTTTAAACTCCATTTATAACGTGGAATCATAATTAAAAGTTATCCGAAGCGGAATGAGGGCGTTCGTCTATCACATCGATCACCCAGGTTTCAACTTTTAACCTTCATCGAAGCTACTTCGCCGACTGGTATTCATCGATCAACTTCTGCAGCCGCCAGTACCCATTGTTTATCTTCAAACATAATGAGTGACAAAGAGGACATTATTTTTGCCGCATGAGTTGTACTTCTTCGATGTCGACAGTTGTGCAATAAGTATTAACCTCATTTAAAACGAAAAGGTAGTTAAGAGTTAAGTGGCTTCAAAACTTGAACCACGGCAAAAAATTCCTAAATCGAGGAATTCATATGAGTGCCTTCGAAAGTTTGAAGAAATAATGATGACTTAAGCCGGTACGTTGAAATTACGAGTTACATAAAATGAATAAGTTTAGTAATATGGACATCAAATGTGTCCAAAACGGTGTGATAGGTACACAAATTGCCCGTGTCCGCATGCAATTAACCACACCAAACTTTATGACATGCATCTGATCTGCTAAGGTAAAGCAGTAAGCAATCAGGACGGCAGTGTCGTTTACTCATGCAACCCTCAGCCACGTCGAAATCAACCATCCGCTGAGGATTAACAACGATGGGACTAACACTGAGACCTAAAAATGCGGCTGTTACGATGCATGTTGGAGAATTAGTGCATGTTTCACGAGATCAATAAGTGTGAACAAATGACCATGACCAAAATGAAAAGGACAGTTCCTAAAGGGACACGAATTCAGCCCTCACATTTATCAAACTGTTTTGATTTCAAAGTTTCCATTAAAGCAGTCATTTTAGTTTAACATTTTAATTACAGGTATAGGACACCGAGTCTTGAGGTTACTTTTGCAGGACAGTTAGACAAAATGTGTCGGTGCGATACAAGCAAAAGCGTAGGGCGACACCACTTGACACAACTCTTGAAGCGAAAAACGATGGCGTTAACGCCCAAGACGACAACTTAGCCTATGAGACCTCACGCCGGATTTCCGCTCGGCGGATTGGTTGTTTAGACGGCTGAGGCGATGACTAAGTCGGCGTGTGATTGGACAACGCACCATCCGTGTTCATGCAAGCTCCCTCCAGTGCTTGCTAACGCGCGCATTCGGTCGTTCGCCGGGCCTCCGGTAAGTTCTCTTTGTTCTCGGTTCCCCCACCAGATTCAGGGTTTAGCGCTTCATCGGGCTGTGTGCTTATTTTAATGGCGGGTATGAAGTTAATTAACCGACCTTTGCACAACTGATACTAAATTTACCCGAATAGAGCGATTTTTTGTGCTCGTGTCTTGTTCTCCAGGGCTCACGATACCTTTGTCAAGTGGCCTGAATTTGTAGCAGTCTAGGTCGTAACTAACAGTAGTTCCAGACCGTCGGAGAAGACTACAAATTTTAAGATCGACGAGTCCTATGCAATAACTCAATTTGGGGCCGGGAAAATCGAACCAACGTTCTAAGTGTGGCGTGCGGACCAGGCGTTGACTCCGTGGAGAGAAGCCCCCCAGACCTCTATTTAAGTAGGGTAAACGGACCACAGGAAGTACAAATTAACTTTGCTTTTTTCAATCGATCTGGCCCAGCTTTTGCCCTACTCGGATCAAGTGTTAGGCTCCGTCTTTTCAGTCGTCATTTTATGCAGGGTAAAAAGAAAAATAGCTTATCTTTTCAAGGGAAAATGGAATCGTCTGCTTAATGGTGTACGCCAACCCGATATCGCGCGGAAATTAGCGTGTTACCTCTAGTAAATACTACCGCCGGTGTTTTTACACACGGGATCCAGCGACTTGATGCCCGAAGAGGGTTTCTCTTGAGCAGGCTGGAAATTCCGTCGCTTGGTCATCGAGCTGATCACCAGATCGTGCTTTCCATGGGTTTAGCCACGTCAGTTACGTGCCTAAGCCCATTTTAGGCATCGTTCTCACTCACCTGGGGTTTTGATTTTGTGGTCCGTCAACCACCCATGTGGGTTCGCCTGGTGGTTGGGTGTTTTTTCCCGTGCTACGTGAATTCAGAGGTCTGTACAATAGGGTGGGGGCTGTGCTTTCGCGAACAAATGCATTGTGTCCTCCCGTTTTAATTTATTCCCCTGTTGCGGCCTCTAGTGCGGATAGTCAACCACGCCAGGGCCGACAGCCCACACCGACACAGCCTGACCGAAAAGGGAGACGAGACGCAGAGATGCCGCATAGCTCAACCAATTTATTGAAGCAGTTGTGGTGTAACAAGTTGTCAGTTTATATAGGATCGCCTAACATCGATCTCTGAACGAACTGGGTTACGTGAAGTGCATTCACGTAAACCGATTGCATCGTGTTCGCTCGCTGCTCACTACGCCCCCTTACGTCACTCAAACCATCTTCTAGCTTAACGGCTTAACTTTCCAGATTAAATTTGCTTTAACGTGACATTCCCTGCCGTTAATTTTTCTCTATTTAGACCTGTCTTAATACTCAACTTTGCTTAACCGGATACCTTTAAGATCAGAACCAAGGACAAATGTAGTTAACTTGTGCGTACAGGCACCAGGATTGACCTAGCACCTACCAGACACGAGAAATTTGCACTTCTGGGTAGTGTCTAGTTTGGTTGCATTTGTTTAGGTGACCGAGAAAAATGTGGTTTAAGGTGAGTAGGCGCAAAAAGAATGGAAGTCGTCCCGCCTCCACGCCTCTCAAAACGACGACTAAACCGAAGAAGCCCATCACACGGTTTCACTGGCCCTCTCTCCGCCGTTGTTCTTTCCGTCGAAAACCACGTCCCTTGACTCCCATGAAGCAATCGTCTCCCGCGCGTAAGCGGGGCGCCCTCCCTGCACTGCCGACTACCTCCATTGGTCGCAGTCTCCCTTACCGTCCACCCAGCCGAATTCGTTGTGGCACAAGCGTAATCCCCATTATGAGGGCATCGGCTTTTCGCCTGCGTCAACCTGTTGCTATCAAACGCCACGCAACCACTTCGGAGCATCAACTATTCAAGATGAGGCGGCTGAGTGGCTACGGGCACTGCAACCCGATTTACGATGATGTGTGTAGTGACTCCTACACAGAGACGGAGGAAGAAGCAATATACGAGGAGATTATACCTTTCAGAAAACGTGTTCTCGATGCTCCAACGTCCTACCTTGATTTAATGAATGTCTCGGCGTTGGTTACAGATTCGCCACAAAAAGGCATCAGGCTACCATCCCCAACACCCTCACAAGACGTCTATGCTCTGCATGGAGGGGACTGTGTGAGCATTGCTTCTGGTGTCTACGACGACGTGGCATCGTCTTCGTGCAGTGATTCTGATGAGGACTTTGATGAGGGTGCGTCTATCGTCCTTGAACATTTTTACATTGCAGTTTCACACACAATGGGTCCTAACGAGGATTGCTTAACTGTACGAAATGACCATAAATGCATCCGAAATGAACTCTACGAAGAAACACTAAGGGCTAAGATAGAAACCATGACCTTAATTGACTTCATTAACGTCCTTGTGGTTGTGAACACATTACCTGTTTAAACAAGTTTAAGACACTTTAATACTGGAGCAAATCCACTTTTACACTTATGTGGCTGCTCCTAAAGTACATCAACATATTTGTTCAGAGCTTATATTGTTCAAATTTGAGCTCTACTGCTTACGCCAAAGTCAAAAAATTCAGGAATTTGTGGTCTCATTTGCTGACATCACTCTTGAGGTCCCACTCTTTGATAAGTTTGGGGCTTCCCTTGATTGGATACTAGTCGTTCGCGAGTACCTACAAATGAGCGTTCTAGTGGCCAACGTGCATTTGAGACTTGGTTGTAGTTCAACAAACTAAGTGCTGATACCAGTGCAGTTGGTTGACGTGTTTGGCGTTGAGTAGCTCGTGCGCGTGTGGACGATAACGCCGAAATAATTACCCCATGGGTGGATGCTGTCTGCAGACCACTTTAGTGCTGCTTATCTAGGCATAAATCACAAATTCAAAAAAGCGATGGTTGGACGTTCTTTAATGTCGTTTTGATTCACCCAGACGCAGGTATCTACGGTTGGGCGACCGGTGCCACAGCAGCACAGAACATTCCCTGGCCCACGGCAGCTTACGGAGGAGTGAGGAACAACGGCGATCACACGGCTCTGCGTTGGATTCATCGGGAGTCCTACGTAATTCAATAGCAGTCATTTCCTTGATTAACTCTCCTTAAACACGTATGATTACGCGACAAGGAGACGAATGTACCTTCGTTCAGTTTCGGGTTCTTTTTCGCTACGATTCGGTTCCTGTACCCGTCAATTGGCGCACAACCGCCACGCTTTTTGATATACGCACTACTTCCAGCTCGCTCTCACCACGTTTTTATATAGTCATTGTGCATTTCCATAGAGTTGGTCAAGCTGCGACTCAGTGAGTTCGCGGCGTTGTCAACTCAACACTTTTAATACACCTTTTTACGCAAGTCTAATTGTTGTGTTAATATCGTGTCTGAGTCACATGCGGGCGCTATCAAGTGGCAGCTGGGATGTTGAGTTAATGTGCCGGTATTTCCACACGCCTGTTTACAACGGCATGCTTAGTGGTTCTCGTAGATGGTTTCATTGGAATGACAACTTTGCAAGAGCTCCATGGTTCTCGCGTTAGGTGTCCCTTTAAAATGCTGGGTGCTTGGGCAAGGAAGGCGTTTCGTGTCGCTGGACAACGCTGTGCCTCGATCCCATCGTTTGTAAGGTACAGTTCTCAAGAACCACAAGAAGAGTTGGTTGTCAAGGTGATGGTGTAGGCTTGCGTGATGTGGCATCGTTATTTACGGAATGAAACCGTTGCCACTAAGTGGCGAAGGCAGTTTGTCACCAGTCATCACTGACGTTTGCGTGATTTTGAACCTGGTGTAAGTCAAGATCTCTCCTGTTCCTCACCACAAGCCTGCATCAACGGTGTCACCATAGCCTTACAAGTCTAATTTATCTGAGCTTACTATTTTGTGTGGGAAGTCGATTCAGCTCTTGATGTCTGTAAGATATGGGTATGAGCATGCATTGCATCGCGATCCCGTGGCGGATCGTGTTTGATGCCTTCTTGGCATATCCAGCGCGTTTGTTGGTGCTGTTGATTGAGAGCACCCAGCGCTGTGTGCTTGCGTAAATGGCGCTGTTGGTGGATTTATTCGTTTGAAACTCTGCCAGGGGGCGCGTGTGAGTAGAAGGCTGTTCGAGCAGGTTTACACGAAAATTGGTTGTCGTCTGTGACTCATCCCTACATTTCAGCGGCCACTCGTCTCAAGGACTTAGTAAACACGCCGTGTCACATCGTGTCTTGCGGGTGAACAAGCTGTCGTGTCCACCTCGTGACTTTTTCGCCGCCTTTGTTCTCGGGTTTTTGGGGTGCCAACGCAAAATGAGGTTGTAGTGGAGGTTACCGCTGGTAGTTATCAGTCACTACGAGATGTTCGACATTATCTCGATTCTCCTTGTTGCGTGAAATCTGCACGAAAACACTCTTGCGTGATTTCTGATTGCTAGGTGAAGAGAAAAAGGTGAGTCGTCGACTAATTCAGCCATTACTTCGGTTAAAATCACTCCAGCACCCCCTGATTTTGCCAAGTAAGACCACTCACTGGAAGAAGTGCTCGAAGTCCTAGGCATATCAAGCCAGTGAACGTGAGGTGAATGCAGTTTTCGTGGTAATGGTCCTGTGTGGAGTTCGTGGACCCAAAACTCCGGCCTTGGGTCCCCACCACTGACTCTTGCCTCTGTGACCCTTGTGGATCCTAAATATCTTGCCGGAATTGCAAATATGGTGGTAGGTGAATGGAATCATAGGCCATCGATCGTGGCGCCAAGTGTGCGAAATAGGAATATTGAATTAAGACAGTGTTGGCATTAGTTTATTTCAGGTGTTGTGGCAACAGTAAACTGCTGAAGTCCAATAATAGGCGGTGGATGTAATATCATGTAGAGTCAGACTAACGGTCGTTGAAAAAACCGTTTAGCTAGAAGGCTTGTTAAACGAGAATTGTCACATAAACAAACAGAGTAAAACCACCGACTGCGCGCGAAAGGTTGATTTATCACTTTGGCATTGTCAACCAGGATGTTCAGCATGCCTTGACGGTTCAAACCTCGTGTCCCTTTTTAGCCATTAACCAACTCTAGAAGTTGGCTCTTTTACTTTGGCTTAAGTAAGAAAAGTGCCGCGGTAATGCGGCTGCTGTAAATTACCCTCATTCCCTGAACTTAAATGTTATAAATCACTAGGCATTACCTCTTTTGCAAACATGCTTTTCCAGTAATATCGCCGGCAATATCCTCCCTTTGTTGGTCAGATCTTTGTACCATATTTGCATAGAAAACCTAGTGTTACATTAGATGCTGATTGTGATATCCTTTTCTGTATTTGAATACGAACTTATTTCATGCGCTCTCATTCATGTGTTGTGTTATTCAACACTCAAAATGTACGGAAGTATAATGTACGCTCGAATTTTTTTCAAAAAATCACTAAGCCTCGGTGAACGTTCATCAACGAGTGTTGAAACTTGAAATTTTAGATTAGACGCAGGACTATTGGCACACAATAAAGGCGGTAAAAGCGGCAGTAGTGATTGTACCCATTCAAAGGGATTTTTGAGTTGATAAGTACCGCGCGAGGAGGACAGGGCTTTACATTCGCAGACAATGTGACTGGAGCAGTGCAGAATTGCACGACTAGCGTTTCCTCTAAATGTGCACCTTTGGTTGGCGCCTCATTCGCTAACGAACTGGTGGGTATAAATAACTTATGAGCAAATGGTTCAGAAACACGTCAATACATTGTTTTCCCTTTATTGCAACCCGCGATGCTTAAAAAGTATGGGGCCGAGATAACCAGCATTGTCAAATTATACGGCAAGATCAGTCTACGGTGTAGTAATGGATCTCTCAAAGATATACTTGAAGAGGCTGGCATCCTCAAGTGCAATTTATTGAATAAGCCCTTGGGGTTTGTTTCGATTTTAAGTGTCGATGAAACCGGACTCTAAAACCCGATACGTGGCATAGCTATCTCGGCTACATGAACGATTACCCCCTTGGTTTTGACCAAAAGCATATCTCGCTAAGGACAAATTTTGTTTGCCGTCTGTGTTTCCCTTAGTCAGACTCTGATCTGGGTAGTTTGATCGATAGTGGCATAACCACTATCCGTGCCCAGGCATCAATTCAGCCGCCAGTCACATTCAGCGGTCCTGCATTCAGTGTGCTTGCACCAGTGGTAATGCGGTGACCCCCATAGCTGTCCGTAGCCCAAACTTGTATACCCTTGCTCGAGAACCCAGAATTCTGTTTAATGGTTTGGGTGCCATTGCGTTTGCTCGTAACAAAGAGAAAACCACTCGAATAATGGTACCAGATCCCTTGTTGACGCTAGCACCAACCCTCCCACGCTACTGCAAGAACAAGACCAGACGTCGTGTAGAGAGCTTTAATCACGTCAGCCACGTGCGGAGTGAGTTGTCAAACGTGAACACGGATTCAAGTCAAGGTTAACTTTGACATGATAAAAAGCGTAATAAAACATGTTAGGGAATTAGTGCAAATAGTGTTAAAAACCAACAATTAGCAATCTTGGGGTATCGTGGATCCCCAACAGGTGCATGAAACGCTATTCCCGGGAGGGTAGCATTTTATTTCACGAAGACAAGATAGCTTCTACAGTGTGGCGCTTTGGGACAGGCAGCACAGTTGCAAAGGGCTGTAATTGCAATGCTTCCCTTTGAGGTTAGAACTAACTTAGGTAATTTAATGTCAAGCGATTTAACCCACTTAATCGGTACAAGGAACACGGCACTCATTCACGACAACTATACCTTCGAAATTCGGAGAGGGACTATGGACAAGCACGATTAAACGTCAGTCAACACAATCTAGCAATTGCTCGCTACCTTAACATCAGCAATTACCTATGTTTACCGTCGCTGTTTTAGTTATTGTGCTTCATGTACCACCATAATATACCGGACATGATTTTGCTAATCGGTCATGACAGCGACAAGGTCAAATGAAGGAAAGCTCTAAAACTCAAAAGTGCAGAAAAAACACCTCACGACGCAATCAAAAAGCAGGACAAACAGACTTTCAGGCACTTTTTTTTTTACAAAAAAGCATCCATTACAGCATTAGAGAAATTCATTCGAATTGGTTTTCGTGCAAGTTAAAAGCGCTTTTACTTCAGGTCGGTAAAATAAATGCTGTTGAAGCAAGGCACATATTACTGTTGGGTAGGCACTTCACAATGCCGTACTAGCATTTTAACTGAGAATATTCTCTGGAGGTCAAATACAGGTCACGTACGATTCCTAAAAGACCTTTTAGTTGGTCAAAGGCCTCGCTACGGCATGTGACCACGTCGATTAACCTATAATATTAGTGGAAGGTCAGCAATTTATCTTCCCTTAATGTGTCTGTGTTCACTTGATGGATGTGTTTAAATGTCAGGTATTGACTGCAATGTGGTCTTGTTGCCTTTAGGATACTTCACGATTGCAGTACTCGTTTTTATTAGAGATCTAATGCCCCAGTGACGAAATTTACCAATTCACAATCGAGTTCTGCATACTTAACACCAGTGGTGCAAGTTCTTTTCGGTTCATACCATGTTGAAATAGGAGCTTCTAGTTGGAGCATAGAAATAATGCTATTCCGAATGTACTGCCATTGTGTTAGACTTATTTTTGCAAACTATTACGAAATACAAAGCTGTCGCCATTTATAGCATCGCACATCTAAGTGTTGAGTGTCTGCTGTTTTAATATCATAGCAGTAGGTATAACATTTATTACCTAAACATTTATTTGAACGGAAATCTAACCAAGAAACCATTTATCGATGGGAAAATGCTAAAAACTAGTTTTTATTACAAAAAAAAACATTTAAAACGAGGTGAAGAATGGAGTGGCCAAGAGTACCACCGAAATTACTAATGTTGTCTAAAGTGAAAAAAAAACGATTTAGTGAAAGTTAAGTCAAAATAAAGTCCTCAGGTTTTTAAAAAGCCATGTAAACCAAACAGTTTCACAGCTAGTTCCTCAGCTTATCTTGACTGCTTAGGAGCCTTGGTCAATGCAAGAATACGCAGGCGTCAGACCCAATAGTGCAATGTTAATCGTGGGTAATCATCTAGAAAAGTTATTATTCCAGATCAC